AATAATTTGATGTAAAGGAGATCTCATTTTTTATGCTTATGTTTTCTATTCACTTGATAATAAGGTCTTAATTAGTACATATTGCAGAAATAAAATATGAGCTTTTCTCTAGATGTTAACTGCATTATTTGTATGTTTATTTGTTTAGACATATAAAATGGTACAGTTTTGATTTTTAAATATTGTAGTTTGTTCTTTGATGAGTATTCTACATACAGTAATTTTTTTTTAAAATCATTTATACCTTTTATGCCTGTATGTACATATGGGATAAAAACAGAACTTTTTTCAATATTTCAAAATGCTGGCAAATATATGAAAACTTATAGTTAATTGTGTACATTCATTCTCTTATCCTTGACATAAATTTAAATAGATCATCTGAAGTATGAAAAGCAATAATTTAGCTCAAACTGTATTAAGAATAAAGTTTCTAACACAGAAAGAAAAAATGCCTATGAGCACCTGTAGTACATAATGTATAAGATAGTACAACCAAGCGCGGATCCAGATTTTTTTTTCCAAAGGGGGGGGGGGGGGTGGTCACCCCAGTCAAAAAATTCAATTCCAGAAATTTCTTGAGAAGCAAAAAAAGGAACCTATTTCGTGTGGTGGGGTAAGGTGTGGTGGATGACTTTCAGTGATTCTAATGACTTTCCACACAAATACCACATAGATCCGTGTTTTCGAGGAAGGGTTTTGTTTGGGGAGGGGTGTCCAAGGTCACTTTTACTTGGTGTATTATATACATAAAATAATTCTGCAAATTCCGGGGGGGGGGTTGCCCGGAGGACACCCTGTAGATCCGTGCATGTTCAACAGAATAAAGTTGCTTTATAACATGTAAGAAGAAGAGGCCTTTAATGAAAATGATATCTGTAGAAGTAAAGAAAAACAATAAAATATAAGGGAGTGTATTTCTTACAATCATTTATTTCTCCTCCTACACTAATTGTTGAGCTTTGAATTATTTCGTCTTGCTGTAGGTCTATTTCTGTGTTATAAATCTCTGATAGATTTTGGAAAATAGTTCTAGCTGTTAGCAGTTAATTAAAATGAATTTCCCCCGCGCTTGCGCGGGATTTCAGCTAATGTTTTTATTCTTAATATCCAGGGAAAGGTACTGACCTTGAGCTCACCTCTACTTTAGTATAAAACGGTCAAAACTAATCCAACTGATTAACTTATACCATCACTTGGAAATATCGTTTTCTTGATAAAGTGAAAAATTCATTAATTTTTAAATACACAAAACACATTTTAAGTGAGAATAATCCTACCTTTACGTATTAAAATCATAACTGCATGGCACCTGATCTCACCTCTGATGTTTCGGAGCTCCGTCTTTGCTCTACTCTTGTTTTGTATTGTTTTATGGGCTTTGGGATTGAATACTGTTCGTTATCTCCATATCCATCTTTGAGAGAAAACTCTAAAGAGAGAACTTGAGAGAAAGTCCACACCTACCTCAAGACTTTTTTTATGTAACAACAAGGTTGGTTTGTTTTTGAATGGGATCAAGTCATTTCTCCGTATCTGAAGTCGCGATAGATAATTGCAATAAGTGAGACATTGCTCTCCTTTGTCTTCTTCACAAACTGTTTTATAACGATCCCACTGGAAGATAGAATCAATTGATACTCTCCATACATAACTACACATTCTCCAGGCACATATTATTAGTTGAGAAATATTTCGTGAATAAATCATAAAATGTACACACCCTGTTTCACATGAACTTTCCAAGGAAACTAGACAAAACTAACACATAATATATTTTTTAATTGGATATTTCTATGAGTTTTAGGTAAATACTTCATTTTGCTCAGGGAATCACAACAAGTCTGAAAATATGGCAATGGCCCAGAATTATGTTATTGTTTGTTTGTCTTGTGCTGAATTTGCTTTTACGAAGAAAGAATTGATAACACTTAAACAACTTTTTCTGAAAAAAAAATGTTATCTTAGGAGTACTTTATTTTTTATTAATACAATAGATTTCGTCAAATGCAATCAATAAAATCATCGATAAACAAGCACATTTTGTACTTCTTTGATCAAAATACTTTATTCTTTTCGGGGTGTGTGTATTTTACACCCATGAAAGTGCAAAATATTTTTAGTCTCGAATTAAAACATTTGAGTAAATACAAAAAAAAAAACGGTTTAATTTCTGTTGAATTTTTTTTTTAATTTTAATTCATCAAGAAAATTTTTCAAACAAATTAAGGGTCTGGTTTATCTATTAGAGGGATGTCAAAATGGATGTGCTAAATGTGCAATTTTAACATATTTTCCTAAGCAGAAAACAAATAAAAAATCATTGTGTTGTTTTAAGTGTATGGTGCTTTTAACTTATCTGGATTTTATCTGGATATTTCAATGCTTTTCAAAAAAGGAAAATGTCAGATATTGTATATTTAGTACTCTTAAACTACCAAAAAGGAGTCATTGTATGAAAGAATTATAAATATTGTTTTATGGCTATAAATGTTGCTTTTTGTTTAGAGATGAAAAAAATAATCTCAATGCTGGCGAGAATTATTCAGAATGGATTAGTCTTTAATACGTGAACGAATTATTTTAATGGTTTAATAAATTTACACCATTTGTTGGTTTATTATAAATAATGCAGAGGCAGTAACAAAGTAGCAACAAATGAAACTTGGCCATCTGTTCTTGATAAATGGTGTTTGTTTCATTTCAAACTAAATAGTTTTAATGATGGTGACATTTTTGTCTTTTGAATTATCACCATAGCTTTAAACTGGTCTATAAATATATCCAGTATTCTTCAAATCAACCAATAACGTTTTTACAATATAGGGGATAATTCCCATATGTGTTGAATAAATCATCAGATTTGGGATCACTTTTTAAACTAAGTCAGTTTATTATGCATACAGTGACACATGACTGGGTAGCAAGATAACTACAATAAGTAAATATTATTGGAGAAAAAAACAGTAGTTTATTAGTTCTTTGACCTGTCTCATATATTATTCATTTGTCGTATTTTTGAAAATTGCGCTGGAAATTAACACATTCTTAAAAAAAAAAATAATTAAATATGAATTTTTCATTGGTTAAAAAAACTGATCCACTGTTAAGGACAGATGATACAAACATTCTTTTTCTTTAAAAAAGATTTAATATCATGTCACAAGTTTATAAAGGTGAATGGATTTTAGATTTATTTTTCTCCTTAGAACTGGAATATGAAAAAGACTTGGAGAATATAAGTAATATTTCAATGAAAAACAAAATTTAATATAGACAAATCACATTCAGTAAAGGTTTACAGATGAAAACAAATTTAAGAATATGTTACCATGGTGCTAAAAGTGTAATATAAGCTTAAGAAACATATACCAAGCCAGGTGAATTTTATCAGGAAAAGATAAATGGTAAAAATCAGCCATATGTGATATTGCTAATTTTTTGTTATTTATTATTCCCTAACTGCCCTGTTTATTTGCTGCATGGTGATCCTTAAGTTAATACAATGCAAGCAGAGAAGTGAAATCAATTCTCGCTTGAACGCACACAGCCTACTGGCCAAGTAATATGCCTGAAGCAGAGTATAGGAGTTTAATTGAAAAACTGTCCTTCTATTGCACTGGTTATGCTCATATAGGCGCTGAGGTTATGTGAGCACTGAGCTCAGTAAGTGACAGTTTATTCATTAATACATATTGTATGTGTCAGATCAAAATGTAAAGTAGAAGATGCAACTATGTGACAAAAATTCTGTATGCGAAAGTCTCATTCAATGTTTTTTAGCAGTATGAGAGGAGTTCTGTATCAGAGAGGGGTTACTCAAAGCGTAACAGACAGACGGACATATTACCCTACATAATCATAATCTCCTGTCTTTCACCGGGGTACAAACTAGTTATATAATATTACTACATTTTTCAGTCAGTAGGATGACTCTCCATAATCGAAAAAAAGCAATGTTCAGGTAGCCCTTTGAGCTCGATAGATCTTTTACTCTTTTAGATTCTGAATCATCGCATTGACCTTAAAGAAGCTTTAAAGAAGCAATACTTGTGTAATTTAATGAGACCAAGGATAACAATTTATTCCCTATTTAACCCAGGTGAGTATTTTGTTAAATTGTGTAATTTAATGAGATCACCAATTTATTCCCTATTTAGCCCAGGTCAGTATTTTGTAAAATTTTGTAATTTAATGAGATCACCAGTTTATTCCCTTTTTAGCCCAGGTCAGTTTTTTGTTAAATTGTGTAATTTAATGAGATCACCAGTTTATTCCCATTTTAGCCCAGGTCAGTATTTTGTTAATTTGCTTAATTTAATGAGATCACCATTTTATTCCCTTTTTAGCCCAGGTGAGAATTTTGTTAAATTGTGTTATTTAATGAGATCACCAATTTATTCCCTATTTAGCCCAGGTGAGTGTTTTGGTTTTAAGGTACCTTCATTTATTTTTATTGCCCCGTAAAAAATTTAACCTAAATCAACAATTGCAATGACCTTAAAGAGGCCTTAAAGAAGCAATTAATTAGATCAAGATTACCAGTTTATTAGTTATTTAGCCTAGGTGCGTATTTTGGCCTTAAGATCCCTACGGGGTCATTTTTGGTCACTTGGGTTATGCAAATTTTTAGGGTGTTGAAACTAGGGGCAATTTTCGCCGTGGAATAATACTGGGAGCCATTTTTCGACGTCAAAAAATGACCCATGGTCAATATTCTTTACGAGTCATTATTTGTCTTCACAAGGGCAACAAAAGGGACTTGTGGAGCCTTTGGCGAACATCTGTAACTGTTCCCATTACAATTAGCACTAGTTTATTCTAGATTCAACAAATCAATATTTTAATATACGAAACATATGGAGTACGGAACCGTAAGCCAATCGTTTTCAGTAGCTAATGTATATTTTGTTATTTATATTTGGCGTTTTGGATGCTACATTACAAATTTTTAAAGGTACTCCACAATACAGTCAGTAGCTTTAAGTACACATTACGGTATGGGTCCTCTTTGTGCAATTATCTTAGTTTTGATCTTTTTTGCGGTGTGCCAGTCTCTCATTATTTCGAGGAAATACACCGCAAAACGTGAACTGAATGATAACAAATCAAATGAAGAACTTTTAGAAGAATACTACTCTACATCCGTTATAGAGTGTGGAGCCCGCTGTCAAACAGAGTGTAGTGTCTATGGGTTTAATCCTCAGATGAAGAAATGTCGGACCCACAAGAAGATTTTTACGTCGGAAGTGTCTATTGAGGATGGCTGGAGATACTACTCACATGACTGTATGTAAATCTGTTATTTCCTATGTTTTATTTGCCGCGAATCAGATAAATATCATGGAACTTTATTGCTCCTCATAATTTACTAGATCTAAGTAATTGTCATGTCTTATTATTTCTAATCACTTCAATTTCGGTAATAAAAACATGCTTAACAAAAGTTCACATCTTAGCTTTAATTAACAGAAAACCTTAGTCCTTCGTATTGTTATTATGTATTTTCTCATTTATTGTATATTCATAGTATGATTCCATCATTATTTTTTTAATAATTTAATCTTAGTTGTAACACGACATTTGATTTGATAGAAGTTTTTATCCATTTTGTATACCATAAATTGCCTACGTCACAATGAGGTACGTCAAAAACGTATTATTCCGCTTGACGTTTCTTTTGAAATATGCTTAATTTGAAGCCTTTTTCAGGAGGAAAAACTGTTTTGTTGTCTTCACTGAAATTGTTTTTTAAGGAATGAAGCTTATTTCAACTTATGTTATACGATATTACGTTTTTTATAAACCGCTTCATTCTTAAATTATTTTTTGTGGATTGTAAGTTTGTTCTGTGCTCTAGTTATACCTAGCGATTGTAAGGATCTTCAAGCAGATGGATACATGAATTCTGGGGTGTATGACATCTATCCCCATGGGACCACTACGATTCCTGTACCTGTATATTGCGACATGACGACAGTGGGCGGGGGATGGACGGTATATAATTATTTTAATACTCTAAAGTGGGCTATAAGTATTTAAGCGGTTTCTAATTTTCGCTTATTTAAGCACTTTGTAAGCAACCGCTTAGAATTTTGATCGCTTAAATAGCCTCTAATTTTTGTAATCATGTACTTTTGCAACGTGTTCAAGCTATAAATTTACAATAGCTGTTTTTTCTGTAAAAAAATGATTTAAATATTATTTTCATTCTCTTTTACCCACGAAGAAACTTTCGCAAAAACTTCACGTAACATTGAGACTCCATTGATGTTAGTAAAAATGTTACACAATATAGGGCAGCAAGACACTCAAACATTGAGTTTATTTGTTTGCTTTTAGACATGTATAATGTAAATATAAGGAATGCTCCTCAAGAAATACTACAGGAAGAGACATGACCTTTCAGTTAAAACTGAAAGGCGGCTTTCAGTGAATTTTCAGTAACCATTCAACCACTGAATGGCACATACATTTCAGTGACCTTTCAGTTGCCTTTCAGTCATATTTCAGGCATCTGTCAGTCACAATTCAGTGGACAGATTTCAGCCAACTTTCAGTGACCTTTCCGTCAACTCTCTGTGACCTTTCCATCAACTTTCAATAACCTTTCTGTCGTCTTTGAGTTACCTGTCTGTCACCTTTCAGTGACATTTTAGTCTCAATTTAGCTAGCTAATTAATTTATAATCAGATAGTTTTCCTTAACAATGAAGCAATATTTTGAATAATGATTTATTATTCAATCTAAGTTGTGTCTTTCTTTCTTATCGTGATTAAATTCGGGTACCTTAAAAATATGTTTAAATGATTATTATAATTTTATGAAATAAATGATACTAATTCAAAATGATTTTTTAATTTTCTAATTTTCTAATTAGATTTAGAAAACAAAAATCCTTCATGTGATAAAAAAATGTGATCCGATAGTCGAATCAAAATTTAAATAGATGCCGTATATCATATTCTATAGTGCTTATACGTGTATTTTTCATGAAAATATTTAGTTTTAAATGATGAGACAGAATTGAAATTATTTAAGAACCCAAATATTATAAATTTCGTTTCTAAATTGTCAAAACCCCAGTATATTTATTTAAACTTTCGAAATACATCATTTTAAAATCTTTTTACATGAATGGAATAAATCATTTATACATGCCTCTTGTAAAAAAAAAAAAAACTAAATATTGTAAATTTTTAGCTTTTTAAATGATACTATTTTAAAATTATTCTACTAATCAAGTTTCTAGATAGAGAATTTACAACGATCTCCAATCTTTGACACAGGAACAGGTGCCCGTCGCTGATAATTGTCATCATCCCGATAGGAGATGTGTAATTAATCACTCTGTCCCCAAAATCCATGCAACTAACATAGAATATACAAAAGATTTACAAGATTAATACATATCGCAGCTCCTCGATATAACAGGTGAAGCAATTGTTCCATCAATTTCTACATATTTCTTGATTTTAAATCAAATGTATTCAACAAGAAGTAGTAGAACTTAATTGATAAGGTCACGGACAAGAAAGCGGGAGACCCGGGTTTGATTCTGGCCTTGTGCATATTTTTTTTTCTTGCATTGATTTTTTTCTCCATTTTTTATTCGGAATTAGAAAAATTTAATGCTATTATACCAGGAAAAAGTGAAATAAATTTTTTAAGTTAAAAAATATACCGATTATTCAATAAAAAAGATGCAACTGAATGATGACTGAAAGGTCACTTAAATGTATGTACTATTCAGTGACTGAATGGTAACTGAATGATCACGGAAAGGTCACGGGAAAGGGTCTTCTCAGTGACCTTTCAGTGACCATTCAGTGGGCATTCAGTTACCATTCAGTCGACTGAGTGGTGGATTTTCATCCTGTGTACGCCAACAGGACAAGTCTGTGTGATTTAACCACAAATAATTCACACAAAACTGAAAAAAAATATTGCTTAAGTGTCAACTTAATTAATATACGCCAAAATTATAGGCATACCTTTAAAAATGCAATAATTGCGACGATCGTATTCTTCTCCGGCGTAGAAAAAATGTTACGAAATTCGAATGATTTTTAATATATATACATAAATATATATATTTATATGGATTTTCAAAAAAAAACATTTCTTCGTTGGGAAAAAGGGAGAGATAACTCTAAAATCTTGGTAAAGTTCGCGTTTTTACTAGAAATCAACGGTAAACAAAATGTATTTTTAAACATTTTCCTCCCATGAAGCAATTTTTACTGGTAATATGGACTGCCATTTCACAAATTCTTACCAATTTTTTTTTTGTGTTTCACGGGAGGCTGGGGCATATGTCTAAAGACAAAAAAAGAACAAAATGTTTTTTCTCAGCAATTTCCAAGTGCTTAACAATTAAAACATTGTATTTTACTAATAGATGAAGGATAATTATATTGTGTGATTTGATGTTGGCTCTATTCAACATTATTTGGTAATTATGTTTATATTAGCGAGACTTGTCGAGCGAATATACACCATTTCAACGAGTTGGATGAAGCCAATATCAAGTCACTCAATTATTGATGTTCTATTTATCTCATACGACTTTCGTTTTAACAAAACTTTGAGACTACTGCTGCAAAAGTACGTGAGTGATTGATAATTCAAATTGATGACGTATAATTTGACGACGTAGCACCGCTGATGTTAATATGCCTCGAAAGAAAGTAGATCGTGATCATTTTTTTTTTTAATTTTTCCTATCTGCGATTTTGAAAACATTAGGCCTATGAAAAAATTGATGGAGCTTTACACCAAACGAACTTTTGAATTGAAGTTGTAAGGACCATGGATCGAGAAAACTAACTTTTTGTACGGTGGCAGTACAGAAGGTGCTAGACAAGGCTACTTGTACGTTCATTGTTGATCCATGACATTCCCTTACTTATGCAGCAATATGTACCTTCATCACCTGCATACGGAGTGTATCTCAGTTGTTTCGATACCCAAGAACATGCTCTACGTATGAACAATTTCTAAAACGAGGTTAATTATTGACAAGCAAGTTGATGAAACAAGGATATCAACAGTCTCGTTTATAGTCGTCATTTCGTAAGTTCTTTGGTCGATACAATGACCTTGTCAGCAAATACAGTTTATCATTGAGTTAAATGCTGACTCACGTATTTCATACCAATTGCTAGTCCATTATTTATACACTGAATTGACTACGAATTTTTCCGTTATCTCACAATCATGATAATGAGCACATGGCGGGTGTGACCGGTCAGCAGGGGATGCACATTCCTCGATGGCACCTTATCCCACCTCTGATGTTTCGGAGGTCCGTGTTTGCTCCGCTCTTCTTTTGTATTGTTTTATGGACCTTGAGATTGAATACTGTTCGTTATCTCCATATCTTTACTAAGTTACACCCAAATTACTAGGTAGGCATACGTAGTATAATATAAGAAAGCATTGTTGAAGATGTTAAGGCGTCTTATAACTACAACTTAACTGCTACGCTTTACTTTTTCCGAAAACGAATAAAGGGATGGTGTAACATTTGATTTCAAGTGCCCAATACCGTTTCCTATATAAAATAAGACATTTCTTTGACATATTTAAGTCTGTTTCTTGCTTTTAACGATATTATTACTCTTTATCATTCATTTTATAAGTATAATGATTTTCACATATAAAAGTTTCAATAAATTAAAATCTTAAAGCGGGGGATCGTGTCCAAATCGGAATTGCTTATAATAAAGCATTTACCCAGGAATAAAGCATACGTTTATCTCATGGGCAGTATCTCTCACACGTATGAGATAATTATGCTTACTTTTTATGCATAAAATATAAGAAAAACTTTAAGAAACAATAATTCATATTCAAGTCTCTTTCAGAATATAATGATGCTTTATGATACAATTTCAATGGACCCCCCCCCCTTATATTAAGAGCTGGAATTTGGGATATTTCACTATTTAGCACTGGTGTTGAAATAATTAATGAATTACAATCAAACTGCTCTTGGTATTAAACAAAAACTTTATAGTGAAATTGTCATCAACCTTGAATTAAATGGCTCTCAAATGTAGGCACGTATCTCGAGTTAGGGTGCGTAGTTCTTTTACATCCGCCGAGTAAACCCGCCTCCCGATTTGTTTCAACTAGCGTAAATTAAACAAGTCGTATGTGTAGTTTTGTTGTTCCAAAGAATATAAAACATAATAAATTTTCATTTTATATCAAAACTTATTGTCGTAAGATTGTTCAATACAATGACTATGTGTGGTTACTCAGTATACATGCTAATTATTAAAGGTAATCCAGAAACGTGTCAATGGGTCCCTGAGGTTTGACAGAGATTGGACAGCATATAAAAATGGTTTTGGTTCTCCAGAACAAGATGTTTGGATTGGTTAGTATATTTTTTTTTTGTTAAAGGAACATTCAGTCGCTTCAATATTGAACAGTATGGTTTTTGAGGGCAGATGATATAAAATACATGGTTACTGTTTTGGAATATAAGCAATATTTGTTTTAATTATGACTCCATGGCGTAAACTTTGCAATACACATGACTTCACAATGCTTTTAGAACATCGGAATACATGCACGAGGCTTTATTGTGCATTGACCAAATAAAGCTTTGGTTTAATAGGTTACATTTATTAGGTCAACGCAAGGGGTATTTGCATGATTAAAAAATGAAACTGTATCGAAGATACATCTGATTTTAAGACAGGATAATATGTTTTGAAGATATTCACTTTTAGTGTTTAACTGTTATTTAAAATTGGAAAATAATGAAAAAAAAAGAGATAACAATCATTTGTCGGCATGAAGCCACAATTAGCATCAATGTCTTCAACTAAGAAAATAATTTGATCTTCATTAAAGTATATTTCGTATTAATTAATTTTTGTGTTGCAAATAATTTTCCTGTTGATTTTAAAATTTTTCTTTATGCAGGAAATGACGTTATACATCAATTAACCAAAGAAAACCCATCCCTTTATGTGTCCATCACTCTCGAGAATGGTACAAAACTTTATGAAATGTACGATAGATTTTCTGTCTCCAATGAAACAGGGAAATATCAACTTTTTCTTGCAGGACCTGCCTTGACAAGGAAGTTAACGAATCAAGAATATAAGCAATCTCGTTTAAAGTAATAATTTTGTAAGTTCCTTGGTCGATACCATACAGTTTATCCTTTAGTCAAATGCTGACTGACGTTTTTCATTCTGATTGTTTGTTCATTATTTTATACACTGAATTGACGATGGATTTTCCCGTTATCTCCCGATCATGACAAGGAGCACGCGGCGGGGGTGACCGGTCGGCAGGCGATGCTCACTCCTCCATGGCACCTGATCCCACCGCTGATGTTTTTGGGAACCGTGTTTGCTCTGCTCTTGTTTTGTATTGTTTTATGGACTTAGAGATTTAATACTGTTTGTTATATCCATGTCCTTCTTAATCACAAAAATTAATTCATCAGCATTTCTTAAGATACCAGGGGTAGTTTTTCTTATTTAATCCTTTTAATTTTCCAGTTTACAAACTGTTTCACATCTATTTTACTCGTTATTTCTCGGTATAACAGAGAATTTTTTGCGGGTGTATATTTTGGAGTGGATGACTCATAAAGTGACATCAAATCCACCTCTGAAAATTTAGAGGGTCAGTGTGCATCCTACTGATCTGATCTGTATTAATGACTTTTGAAAATTGTTTATTTCCGTATATTTCAATTCTTTATTAACCCATAAATCAGGAAAGAATTCACTTTCTCTAGTATGGTATATGGTTTATTATATGCCGTTTTCCGACGTGTTCGAGAAATTTTACTCCTATATACTGTAATTGTCATCATATACTTGTAAAAAAAAATAGACATATTTGGGTAATAAAAACTTAAATAGCCATGAAAAATTTTCTTATATCAAACTTTTTCCAACGACTTGAATGCTCATGGTTTTAAGTCTCATACGAAAAAAATCAAGAAACTTACAGCACTCATTCACTCCAACAGCTGGATTTTTTTAAGCTACAGTTGCTGCCTGTTTCATTCACTTAGGTCAGTAGCGACTGATGTTTTGAACCTTGTTCTTTAATAACATTTTCATTTTTTAAAAGTTTGTTGAGGGAACGGTGTAAAACTTCGTCTAAAAATAGAAAATTAAACCGGCTATATTAAATATTTTTTAGCAATATTTTAAAACGGAGGCAGACTACTATCAAATTAGTTGAGGTTGCAAAAATTTTAACAACGACATTTCAAAACAGCATGAAATCCTTAATTGTAAAATCATTTTTATAATAATTGTTGTTAGAAAATTGAACCTTTCACTGCTTTGTATTTTGATTGACATATCTTCTTCCAAGTTTTAATCACTTTTTTAATGTAAATATGGCTACTGATAACCCCGTGTATCTGAAAAATACATAGGTCCCACGATACTGATCATGTTCTGAAAAAAATGGTACATTGGTGATAATATTCATAGTTTTTGTCACATCTTGACAGAGTTCTGCCGCAATCCTACGTATAATGAGTTGACAACTGAAATTGAAGGCAATTCGAAAGAGTACTACCTAGAGGATGAAAATTTCTTTTCTCAAATTCTATTTAGAAACACAATTCACTGAAATTCACTATTCACGACACTAGTCACGCTGAAGTACTCCCGCCACCACGTGCTGATCTGCCCCTATAAACACACATGCGGATAATCGCCTATAGATGATTCACCACGTTAGTTGGAGGCCCGGACTCGCTGGTCTCACCCTCCGGCTTGGAAAGAACGTATTGGGTCCTTAAAACCATACAGCATCAGCACCAGCATGACCATCCATGCTGGATAGGTAGCCGTCGAGGAATTACACCAAACACTCCTCACTCCTTCTACACTATACGCACTGAAAATATCACACGTTTAACTAACCCTAAAATAACTTTACACAAAAAGCAAGCAAAAGAACATACTTACAACAGTGAAAATTGACCAACAAAACAAACACGCTTACCGACTAGTGAGATACGCAGCACAGTTAAGGTTACGAACGGAAATATTGGCGATTTTTTTAAGATAAAAAAATACATACTTTTTTAGGATGGGCGATTCTTTTTAGGACTTCACTGATATCAAAAAAGGTAATGTGGTTTAAATCTACATGTTGGGGACATTTAGATGTTTTATTTAGACTTGTCACGTGATGTCGACGTCACATGATTTTAGCAATTATACTGGCAGTTTAAAGGTCATCTATAAATTTCAATATTGCAAGGGCATAACCAATTAAAAAAAATTTAGTTTAATTTATAATCCTTTTTAACACTATATGTAGTTTGTAAAAAGTGCTGGGAACCTTTATAGATTCCCTTATTTAATCGCTAAAATTTAATTTGTTGGACGCCAGGTTGAATATTTTGCTGGTCAACTACATTAAATATAGCTATAATTAATTTATTTGCAAGATTTCAAGAGGTTCGCAGCACTTTTCAAATATTTTAATGCTTCTTGAGTTTATGTGTAAAATTTTGACAAGATACATTGAGGGTATGCCCTTGCAATAAATAGATTTATTAGGGCCCTTCCATTACTTTTTTAA